GGAGAATGTGGGAAATGTTTTCATCAAAAGGGCAGTCTCATTCGACATCAGCAAATTCACTCTGGAGAAAGGCCACATGAGTGTGGAGAATGTGGAAAGTGTTTTCGTCAGAAGGGAAACCTCATTAAACATCAACGAGTTCACACAGGAGAAAGACATCATGAATGTTGAAAATTTGGCAAATCTGTTGGTTAAAAGGGCACCCTCATTCACCATTCGTGAGATCACACTGGAAAGTGCTTATGAGTGTGGAGAATGTGCAAAATCATCTAACCAAAAGGTTGGCCTCATTCAACAATAGCAAGATCACACTCGGGAAAGGCTTTGTGAGTGTAGAGAAGGTATGAAATCCTGTACATAGAAGTTTTGCCTCACTAAATACCAGAGGGATCACACTGGAGAAAGACCCTATAGTTATGGGGAATTTGGGAAATTACTTAACAAGAAGTCCCACCTCACTGAACACTACTGAGTTCACAGTTGAGAAAGGCCATATGACTGTAAGGAATTTGTGAAATTATTTAGCCAGAAAAGCTGCATTACTATTCATCAGAGAATTTACAATGGGGAAAGGCCATATAAATGTATAATAAATGTGAGAAATCATTTCCGTACAGCTCTGTGCTTCATGTTCATAAGAATTCACACTGGACAAAGCCTTATGAGAGCAGCGAGTAGAAAATCCTTTGTGGGAAAACTCTGGTCTCATTAAACACAGGAGAGTTCATACTAGAGAAAGGCCTCAACAGTATAGCAAATGTGGAAAGACATTTACCAGAAGCCGTGCCCTGCAAGTTCACACTAGAGAAAGCCCTTCTCAGTGAAGTAAATTTGGAAAATTGATTAGTCAAACCTCTATGCTCCTTCAAGATCAGAGTTCACACCGGATCAAGGCTCTATGGTGTGACAAATGTGGCACATTCTTTGTCTAAATGTCTAACTTTATTATGCATAGACAAGCTCCTGCTGTGGAAGTGCCTTTTGAGTGCAGAGAATTTGATGAAGGCGTCACTCTTCTTTCATTGGATACCAGAATGTTGACAGGAGAAAAATAACATAGGTGTGTGGGAATATTACTTCTTGTCCAGCATAACTGTGGGAGAGAGCCCTTATGAGGACGCCATCAACCTATATTGAATGTCATGTGTCCAATAGCTGCATAAATTCCAGGTATACTGAAGCTGTATTGCATTTCTCATCTTGCGTATGTCCTTGCCAGATTTATTGCATTCTTAGGTCTCTGGCAAAAGCCATTTCACCTCTACCACTTGGCAGGTACCTACAGTGCATCACTCATGCACTCCATCATATTCCAGAAAAAAAGTTCAAGTTGTCTCCCATTCAGCAGTGGGATTTATGAGTAGCCTCTGTACTCATTCCTCTCTCATTTCTCTATGAGGAGTTGGGTCATGGACCTGACTCAGTTTTGGCCTAGAGCAGAAGTGTCCAGTCTTTTGGCTTTTTTGGTCCACATTGGAAGAATTGTCTTGTGCCACATATAAAATACATTGACACTAATGATAGCTGATGAATTAAAAAAAAAAAAAATCACACAAAACCCCTCATAATGTTTTAAGAAAGTTTACAAATTTGTGTTGGGCTGCATTCAAAGCTGCCCTGAGATACATGCGGCCCACAAGCTGTGGCTTGGACAAGCTTGGCCTAGAGAATTTTTCTGATTACCTGACAAGATGGGCTGTCTTTCCTAGGAATCTCATGATTCTCATGATTCTTAAGATGGAATTTTCTAGCCTCTAACTCACCACCCCAAGTACAAGCTGCCTCTCATTGTTCTAGTTTCTGCTATGATGAAGTCCTTATTTAAGCTTCCTTCAATCTTGGGAATTGTGTTGACTGTATTGTGTGAATTGTATATTTACTGCATTGTGTGGCTTAGATACAACATGGTTCTGGTACCATGAAAGTTTATTAGGATTACTAAACTGTGTGACTCTTAGGGGACAGTATGAAGGCAGAATATAGCTCTACATTTGTGGCCTAGTTTGGATGGCTGCCTGAGGCCTCCAAAGAAAGACTTCAGGGCTTTGTGATCTTTATTTTTAGACCAAATATTGCAATATGTGTTTTCATAAATTAACCTGAGTAAGGGACAGTTTTTGTGACACACTTTGGTGCTTCTGAGAACAGCACAAAATTATTCTCTTGTTTATAAGGGATATTGCATTCTGCTCAGTACTGGTGAGGGAAATCTCTTCTCAAGTCCTATAGTGCATTCATGTGTCCTGAAGTCCAGAATTCTGTAGGATAGTGTCCTACATTATAAGCCTGGAGGAAGAAATCATAATTCTTTAATTTTTACTTTTTTAGGGACATGATGTCACTCTGAAACTCAGGCCGGAATACACTGGCATGGTCATACCTCACTGCGGCCTCAAACTGCTGGGCTCAAGTGATCCTCCTGCCTCAGCCTCCCGAGTACCTGAGATTAGCCCAGGTAATTTAAGAATTTTTTATAGAGATAGGGTTTTGCTATTTTACCCTGACTGATGTTCAACTCCTGGCCTCAACTAATCCTCTAGCATACGCCCTTGAAAGCACTAGGATTACAGGTGTGAGCCACCATGCCCAGTCCACAAATAATTTTTATAGAATTAGCATTTCTAGGTAGTAAAGCAGACTGCAACAGAATAGTTGGGATACACTTTTTTTAAAAAGGCATCCACAATGATTCAGTCACTATGTCTGTGATGGATAAGCAGGTATAGAAATTTTCAGGACCTCCATAATTATGAATCTAGTGTAGCTTAGGTCATTGTCAGAGTAAATCTAAAGGTTTTGTGGATTTCTGTAGCCTATCTGGGCTGCTTATCAAAAAGCCATCCCTGAATTAGTAGGAGGAAGAGGATAGGGAGTCCAGTGATGTGGCCTTTGCAACCAGCCAGCATTCCAATTAGGTGGAAATGATCTTCCTGGCTCATAAGTATTTGGTATCACACAGGCTAGTTGCCCCCCTTAGGGCATGATGAGAGTTAGTAGAGTCAATGTAGAATCACATAACCTGTTTATCAAAAATAATGTTAAAAACAGATAGTTGTTTCAAATTATATTTTTAAAGCTGTTATAAGACTGGGCATGGTGACTTATGCCTGTTACCCCGACACCTTGGGAGTCCAAGGTGGGAGTATTGCTTGAGGTAAGGAGTTTGAGACTATCCTGGGTCCCACAATAAGACCCTGTCTCTTAAAAAATAAATAACTATCTTTCTCTCTGGCCTCTCCATCCTCCAGACAATCACTGAATTACAATATTTGCTTAACAGTAGATTAGTGTCAATTTTCTGGAATGTTATATGACTGATATAACATGTTTCCTCTTTTCATACCTGAGTGCTCTCCTGAGTCCTGTTTATTTTGATGTTCTTATTTTTTCTTTATTATTATTTTTATTTCACATAGCAGGGATGCATATTTTGACATTCATCAATCATGATATATGAGTAGTTCATTCTTTTTATCTTAGAATTTGACATGCTATGGAAATCACTATAAGAATTCATCTGCTTATGGATATGTTATTGCTTCTCGTTTTTGTCAGGAATAAAACTGCTTGTTACACACATTTGAATGCAATTCTTCATATAGATAATGCTTCACTTCTCTTGTGTGAATGCCTTGGTGTGCTGTGCCCAACTCACATGGTAGGTGAATGTATACCCCTCTTCCAACCCCAGGCAGCACAGCTCACAGCTCCAAGAGAGACTCCTTCCCTCCACTTGAGGAGAGGAGAGGGAAGAATAAAGAAGACTTTGTCTTGGAACTTGGATACCAGCTCAGCTACAGTAGAATAGGGCACCAGGCTGAGGCCCCTATTCTAGGCCCTAGCTCTGAATGACATTTCTAGATATACCCTGGGCTAGAAGATAACCCACTTCTTTGAAAAGGAGCATCCAGTCCTGGCAGGATCCATCACCTGCTGACTAAAGAGTCATTGGGCCCTGAATAATCAGCAGTAGTACACAGGCAGTACTCACCATGTGCCCCTGGTGAGACTCAGACATGCTGGCTTCGAGTGTGACCCAGCACATTTCCAGCTGTGCTGGCTTTCAGGAATGACTCCTGCTTGAGAAAGGGGAAGGGTAAAGAAGACTTTGTCTTACAGCGTAGATACCAGTTTGACCACAGTAGGGTGGAGCACCGAGTAGGCTCTTAGGGTCCCTATTTCAGGTCTTGGCTCTTGGATGGCCAGAGGAAAGCCCACTGCCCTGAACAGTGTCCCAGTCCTGGCAGCACTCACCACAAGCTTACTGACAAGCCCTTGGGCCTTGAGTGAACATCAGTGGTAGCCAGGCAGTGTCTCTCTTCATGATCCTCATGAGTCCCACAGTCCTGGACTGGGGAGGGCCATGGGGAGAGACACCTCTGCTTGTGAAAACAGGAGGGAAGAGTGAGAAGGACTTTGTCTTATGGCTTGGGTGCCAGTTCACCTGCAGTAGAACACCAGATAGATTCCTAAGGTTTCCCACTATAGGCTCTGGCTCACAGATGGCTTCTGAATGTGCCTAGGATTGGGAGGGGCTTGCCATTCTGAAGGGAAGGAGATAAACCTAGCTGATTTTGCCCCCTGCTGATTGTAGAGTCCTAGGGCCTTGAACAAACACAGGGAGTAGCCAGGGAAGTGGTCAGTATGAGTCTTGGGCAACACCCAGTTTTCTGCTGGCTACAGGTCTGACCCCATATAGTCCCAGTGGTGGTGGCACAGGGGTACTTGTGTTACTCCTCCCCCAGCTAAAGGCAGCTCAGCACAAAGAAACTTTGGAAACCTGCCAGCAGGAGACTCCATGACCCCCATGAACACTTGAGCGGGCAGGGAGAGCTGCTTAGAGAAGCGGTAGGGACAGAACTCCAGCCAGTGCAGAGCTCAGAGGGTTTGGGGTAGGAGTATCTCTAGTGGAGCACAGCCAGACACGCCCATATTTCGAGGCTCGCCTTGATTCCCTAATAGACTTTAGCCCTAGGGAAGTCAGACCTGATCAGTGCAGGGCATTCTTGCCGATGAGTTGGGGATGGTTGCCCCTGAGCACCCCTTGGTCAGCTGGCCTTTCCCAGGGTTCTAGCTTGCCTACACCTGCTTGCAGTGTGACCTCGGATGCCCAGGTGGGGTCCCTTGTGGGGGTGTACATCATAGCTCCTGTGCTGGTGAACTGCAGCAGAGAAATCCCATAGTGATGCAGCAGCTCACCTGCACCTTCCCAAAACTGCGACCTCCCTGAGACACTTTGCACGCATTCACCTATGGCCACCCCCAACATTGCTTTGCCAGCATATGTGCACGCGAGTGGACCTTGTCTTCTCTTTTCCACTAGCATGTGTGTGCATGTGCACCCTGTCACGCTACAGCTGCCAGTGTGAGCATACCTCATCCCCCCGACTTCTCGCGCACCACCATCGCTGTCAGAGCATTTGCGATCCCAGAGACTGCCAGCCCACACCTGCCAGCACCCCACCCCTGGACCAGCACAAAACTACACAGGGAGACCAGCAGACACACCCCACACAGCAGCAGCAGCTGCTACCCATGTGAATGCATGCACAGAGGGTACAAACAGTTCTGTACCTGCCAGCACCCTGCCTCCATATTAACACCAGTGCTGGTGTGAATGTGTACTGGGACGTCAATGGAACCCCCTTCCCTACCCCCCCCATGTTGTGCTGCCACCACCAGCACTGTGAACACTCACGTGGAGGCTGGCACCCCTACACCCACCAGCTCTCCATCGCAGCCAATAAACGTACACCCCACCACTGCCATTGCTGCTGGCATGTGGGAACAAGGATGGCTCCTGCTGCCACCACCCTAAGCACTGGGGCTGGCACTGCCCTTCAGAGTGTTGTTACCAGTAGTCTGGGAACAACTTAGACCCTCCAGCATGGCAGGTTTCTGATCTCCAGGGGCCATAGAACAAAGCTGGATGCCTGATACCAGGCCCTGTGTATTAGAGCATATAGTCTAGCAGTCCTGAGCTGAGCGTTGGACCCCTAAAATGCTTCAGAAATTAAGGCAGTTGACTAGAGCCACACTATACCACAAACTCTCGAGGGCACCAAATAGGATAAAACAAAAAAAAAGTCCATCCAAAGATCAGCAACTTCAAAGATTGAAGAAACATCAGTCAACAAAGATGAGAAAGAACCAGGGCAAGAACTCTGGCAACTGAAAAAGCCAGAATGTCTTCTTATTTCAGAACAACCACACTAGTTCCCCAGCAGTAGCTCCTAACCAGACCGAGATGGCTGAAATAACATAAATAAAATTCAAAATATGGATAGGAATCAAGATCACTGACATACAGGAGAAAATCAAAAAGTAATCCAAGGAATCTATTGATTGCAATAAAATAATACAGGAGCTGATAGACAAAATGGCCTTTATCAGAAAGAACCAGACTGACTTAATAGAGCTGAAAAATGCTCTACAAGAATTTCATAATGCAATCACAAGAATTAACCGCACTTTGGGAGGCCAAGGTGAACAAATCGCTTGAGGCCAGGAGGTTGAGACCAGCCTCTGACTAACATGGCAAAACCCTGTCTCTACTAAAAGAAAATAATAGAAAAAAATCAGCCAGGTGTGGTGGTATGTGCCTGTAGTCCCAGCTGTTTGGGAGGCTGAGGCATGAGAATCGCTTGAACCCAGGAGGCAGAGGTTGCAGTGAACCGAGATTGCACCACTGAACTCTAGCCTGGGTGACAGAGTGAGATTCCGTCTCAAAAATAAAAATTAAAAAAAAGAGAACGCTGAATATGGGATCCCAGTCTCTTTTGTAGGATTTCTGCTGACAGGTCTGCTGTTAGCCTGACGGGGCTCCCTTCATAGGTGAGCTGTCCCTTGTATCTAGCTGCCTTTAATATTTTCTGTTTCATTTTGACCTAGAAGGATCTGATGACTATGTGTCTTGGGGATGGTCTTCTTTGTAGTATTTTGCAGGGGTTCTCTGCATTTCCTGAATATTAATGTTGACCTCCCTAGCGAGGTTGGGGAAATTTTCATGAATGATATCCTGAAATATGTTTTCCAAGTTGCTTGGTTTCTCTCTCTCTCTCTCAGGCATGCCAAAGAGTCATAGGCCACTTTATATAATCCCATATTTCTTGAAGATTTTGTTCATTCTTCTATATTGTTTTCTCTTTTTCTTTTTCTTTTTTTTTTTTTTTTTTAA